TCTTTCGTAAATCTAATTAGGAAGAAGTGAACTGCAGGCCTTCGGAAGGTGCGGGTCCGCATGATTGGCATGTGTTGTTTTGATCCCCAAAAAGACCGAAAGGCATGGAACGAGCTCGGTCCATGGTCCGAAAGCGCCACGAGTATGCAGCTGAAGGAATTGACTTTCGACTTGACTAGTAGCAACTCTAAAACAAAATATGAAGCCCAAAGAGTTATAATAGTTATAGAGTTGTGTTTGTATTGCTTCTCCTCAGATGTTGCGTTTGTCATGGTCACCATGTCTTGAACACCCTCCCCCTTGCTAGACAGAGCACCACAAAATACACCAAGTTTTGCCATGGGCCTGATGCCAGCGTTCGTTCTCAGGAGCGGAACCACAAAAAGTATTAAAAACGACATGACGTGACCATGGCTTTCGTCAAGCGGCACATCAACAACATCTCGGTGAGGCCCGAGTTCACCAACTCTGTGCAGAAGTCCTGCTTGGTGCACCGACCACGATGGGCTGCGCCAAGAGCTCCGCATCTCCACATGGACTACTAATGATCGATGGGAGATGATGGGCTGTGTCTTGCACGTCTTGCCGGGTCCGGTGGGATCTTTGCGCGAAATCCCAGGAACTGGAACTGCAAAACATCTAACGGTTTTTCAGAGCGGTGCTGACGTACGGTGCTGGTGACAAAAGCCACGCGTCGGAGCAGGGTCCAGGGTCCGGCGTTCGACTCGTCGTCCTGGCTGCGCTTCACCAGAAACATCACGAGGCCAAGCTTCAACACATTCACAGCCTCGGTTGGTCCAGGCTTGATGGCCTGTCCGTGGTGTCTGTCCACGGTTGACCACAGTCTAGCAGGGTGGAGACTTTCACTGGCGCCTGACTGGTGAACGGGGCTGAGGAAGATTCATGAAGAAGAACACACCAGGGAGTCACAAAGGGGTGGCTTTTAGTCCATAAGTGAGTGGATAATGGGCACCCCAAGCGCCCCGTCTTGTGACTGCTGGCAAGGAGTCTTCCCCAGTTGGGTTCAATGAAACTTCTTCATGATCTGATTGAACATTAACTTCTGACCGCTTCGTCTCGACACCCAGGCGAACCAAGGGCTGTTTTGCGAAAGAAACTGCTCGTCTCAGCCGGGCTGATCGTTCTTTTGTTGTTTGCCTCCCTGGGGTGTTTAGGCCAGCTGGCATGCACCCTTCGGAGAACAGACCTTCCTTCCAATCCTTGACCTCCCTGTGTCAAACGTTCGGAGGCAAGAGAACATGGCTGTGGTGAGGGCAGCGGGCCAAAGAACCAGGACCACGTCCTTCGCCCTGGCGAGTCGGAAGCCGACTCGCCTGGCACCCTCCCATTCTGAACCCGTATTCCCTCTCAGACTCCGGTTCGTCGATGTTTGTAACAACGGCCCAGGATGCCGTGTTTCCGCACCACGCCCCTCTCACCCCCAGCGCCTCAGCATGGCGTGAAGTGCCATAGTCGGCGCTCGGTCCGCTTAAGCGGGCGAGCTGTGCATCGGTTTGCAGTCGCAACCTGGGTGCGGCAGGCCCCAAATGTCTCCAGTCGTGTTGGAGGCAGAAGGCATGTACTGCAATGTGCAGTAATTAGGCACCTTGAAGCCATGCAAAACGCAATGAGCACTTGTGCAATTTCTGAATGGCAAACTCGTAACAAATTCTATTTTTTAAAAAAACTCTATATCAATATCTAGTTAAATACTCATGGTTCTACGCACTTCCAGCTGCTAATTATGCGACTGGTGGGGAAGGGTCTTGCATGGAGTCGTGTTACAGAACCATTCATTGCGATCTCGTGGCCTTTTGCCAAGAATTAGATAATTAGTCTTCCTCCCAACCAACTCTCATCCTTGTGCCTTTCTCACCATATTCTTCACCGTAGTTCCAAGCTCTTGGGCCGCACCGGGCTACACCCCCGCCCGGGCCACACCTCTTTGCACAGGTCTCCACGGAAACGCCGTCCGCATCGCGACTGGCCGCCACCTCGACCTCAGCCCAGGCGTCCACGTCCTGAGACGGTCCGGTGAAACCCCTTCGGCTGCGGGAGGCTGAAGAAGGGGTCAATGTAGGGTTCAGCATGGAATCATTTGTTGGAGGGGGAGATGGGAGGAGGGGTGGTTGGTTCAGGGCCTAAGGGAATGCAACTGGACAAGCGTTTGTTGGTCCAACCCTCATAATCCTCATAAATACATGGCAACCCGCTGAACATCTAACTTTGATGTCTTTTGACGTATTCTGCATAGAGCGCATGAAATGATGGGTTTGTGGCTCAATAATCATCTTGTCAAGCAGGGTCTCTCTCTCTCTCTGTCTTAGCCGCTGAGCCCCTCGGCGTCCCTGGACGTATTAATATGCATTAATACATCATAGTCATAGTATACACTTATGTGGCAGTTTTTTTGTCCATTGCCCTGATGAACAAAATACAACTCCCCCACCCAAGTCCTCGCAAACCAGTGATTTACAAATCCGCGTTTTTCCTTTCAAATCTTGTGCAAGACCCAACGCCACTGCAGCCACGATCAATGGACCCCTCCAAAGCCTAAAACCATGGACATTGCATGCAGCTGTCGCCCAAAAAATTGAATTTCTATGAATTAAGTCCATCCGTTTGTTTTGGGTGGTTCATGTCCAAAGGAGGCAATCCGAAGAACTGGGAGATGCCATGCCTGTTGTACTCTCCAAGCAGTATCTAGTTACAGTACCATGCCCTCTTCCAGTGGCAAACATGCGCAGTATACCATCTGACCTCGCATGACCTCGCCCACATCGTCCGACCTCAGTGTCGAGCGGATCTCCTGCGGCTCATTCCACTGCCGAGCGTAGTCCCAAAGCATCGTGTCGCAGCGGAAGCGCTGAATGAGGCGCCGCAGGAGGCAGTAGGCATCGGCGCCTGACTGAGACGACGCATGGAGGTGAGCGCCCAGGAGGTGATCAGGAGTCGAAATCTGACCGCCCATCAGTGTAGTAGAAGGCATGTTAATAGGGCTACTTGTTTGGGTATGTTGATTGTATTTTGGGGTCCTCCTTTGAGGTACCTTCCAAAGTCCTTGGTTGGTCAATCTTCACGGTATCAACGAGATTCCACGAAGCCCGCGTCGCGGAAAGCAAGGAACCCTTGGGACCTGGAAGCGTCATGAGACATCGCCCCACCTGGTCTATACTCCCTGGAAGGTGTCATGGAAGTGGATGGCATCGCCAAATGAATGACCGTTTTGCTCAACAAACTGGCGGTCTTCCACTTCCAAGATGATTTCCAGGACGTGTACCTCCATCTCATCTTCCATCAAACCCTCTTCAAACCCTCTTAAAACACGGCTGCAGGCCTGTCAAACGTTCGTAATGTCGGTACCAACAGCTCTAGCTCAGACCCTCCGCCCGACCCCTTCGACCACGTCCGGTCTCTTTCGTCGGAAAAAACGCTGAGTGTGGGGCTGACTCTCAGATTGGGACCTCAGAGCGTCGCTCTTGGCGCGTCCAGCTGAAGACTCCGATGTGGTTTTTTCATTCGACCCAAACCATGTCTTTTTCCAAGCTGAACGTCATTACCTATATATATATAGTTATGTAGCATTGCCTTGCATATGCTGCATGGTTCGTACGACAGAGTTTGCACATTTCGTGCTTGGTAACCTGAAAGAAAAACTGCATAAGTAGACGCGCTGCTTACGTTGAATGCTTACTGTTGGGAAAGCTCATATACGTGCTCCTTGGTGATTGGGGCGATATAGCACCGGATGTCTCTTGATGCACGTCCCCCGGTACATCCTGTGCTTCCTTCAGGGACGCGAAACAACGGCAGCCGCCTCATCTTTGCGCCCCTAGCTTTCTAGAAGAATGTGTCAGGTTTAGGATGGTTTAGGAGATGGTAGAAGCATGAGGTCTGGTACACCAAATGTTCCCCAGTATCAAGTGAGGAAGTTTGCAACCAAGCCCACGACCTCCTTCCACTCTAGGCGCCAGGCCCTCCAAGAGTATGAGCAAGCCTGGGATCAGCTGCTGCGGCCAATCTGCACCTGTGAGCATCGGTGCCACTCTGACCAGGCCCACATGTCCCAAACCAGGTCCTTTTGCCCGGTCGTCACGCAGGGCACTGGCGAACGCAAAACAAGCTCGGCAGTTCAAGCAACTGGCTCATCGAAACTTCTGTAGTGACGATAGCACTCACCAAAGCTTGTTGCAGCGCTGTTGCTAATTGCATCGCTGCTAAGTAACAAGTGCATTGCCACTAGTAGCAAGTCCATCGCTAGGAGTAACAAATAAGTCAGGTGGGCGTTGTTCTTGTTTCTAGATTCTAGATCAAGGAGATGTCCAGGAGTGTGAACAAGGCCAATCGCTTACCCTGCCTCAAGAACCACAGTAGACAACGACAGTAAACAACGACCCATGGCTGCATGGCCTTTCAAACACACAAGTATAGTGCACACAATGAGAACAAAGCAACAGAAAAGGGAAGTAGAAACTTCTTGAAACTCTACTTAAGACAAACGATTCTTCTTGGAACAGCGGCGAGTTCCAAATGAGGCCAGCTTCGCCTGCGTAGTCATCGTCGACCAGCTGTGCCAACGATCCAATGGAAACACGCTGCGCCAGTGGAGGCTTCGAGGGCATCAGCAGCAAGTGCAAGGCTACCATCACTTCCGACTGAGCGCGGGCGAGCGCCGGCGCTGGTGTTGGCATCGGGATGGGTCAGGGTGGGAGATCCAATCCACCACCACGCGGACAAGTTGAGATTTGAAAGTGGCATGGCTGCCACAAAGTCAGTTTTGGATTGGGAAAAGCCTGTGCACAAAATAAAGCAAATCTTTTTCTGGTTCCAGCTGTGCCCACATTCAATATTCATTTCAGTCAGGGTCATTTCACCATATCCCGTCGACCTAGGAACATAAACATGCAACTCCTCTAAATTCTTGTCTCAAAATTATGGTACCACCTTGGACAATACCCATCCGAAATCAGAACATACCAGAACCACAAAGAATCACCACTTCAGCCATGAGCCCAAAGGAGTCCTTTCAGAGACACACCATGTATACCCCGTGCCAGGGGCGCATGTATCGTATGCGCCTGATAGTTGGGATTGGACCGGAAGAGCTCACAAAGCAAACTGCCAGCACTCTTCACGGTCTCCCACTTCAAGCCATCAACGATGCACTCCTGAGATGGCTCACTCCAGCCTAACTAATCCTACGTCCGGGTTTAAGAGATCTTGAGAAATGGTAGAGCATGGCTTTACGAATGATATAATAATATATAAGCAAGTTCAATGGCCGCAGGGACCTGAATGTGGCAAACAGCTGCGGCAAAAATGACTTGTCGACCTAGACTGCAACCCAAAAGTTCAGAGTGCGTTCCATGATGTGCCCGAATGGTTCTGAGGTCAACGATTCTGCTGATCACATGCATGCTGCTCTGCATGCTGCTTCCCACCATAGCTTTCTCCATATAACATCATATAACATCACGACTTGATCCCAATTTCAATCTGGGCCCACCAAACAAGGCTGTCATTTTCAAATATTGAATGTTTCGCGATATTTCCACCGAACAAGTCTGCCAAGTCTCTACCAGGTACGAGATTAGGCCTTTGGAGCACAGCACCTGCGAAGGTAATTGGACGGTCGTGGACGGTGTGTATCAAAGCCAAACCCCTTAAAAGGTCTGCTGGGACTCCTTCAAGTCCCAGACTCGGACTCCTTCTTTTTTTCCACCTGGGATGTTCCTCTTCTGTCTCATTCGCTGAACACACCTCCCACAATCAAGATCAATCAAGTAATCGCTTATCCTTTTGCATCTTTTGCTCTCACCCAGCATGACTCATGCAATGGGTTCAACAGCCCATCCCAACCAAATAGTTTTTTCTGTCTCAGAGTTTGCTTTTCATCGCTCGTTGGAACTTAGTCGAAACACATGAAACGAGCAACCCTTGCCACCGCCCCCTCCCCAGTGCTCAGCACGTGCCGGTGCCTCCTTATGAGTCCGTCCATGACGAACGAGCCGGTGCAGCACGAGAACCTCAAAGGGCTGGTGCTGCTCCGCAGGGTCTGGGAATGTGCGGAGCAATTGAAGCCAAGTAAACCCTCCCAATGCCCACCACTTCCAAGCAGGTCCATTCAAGAAATCTCAAGAAATGGGACTAATTCGCTGGAATTTATACTCTCTCCAAGCCCTCGCAGCTATCCTTGCAATCCTTGCAGAGCTACAGCTTTCTGGTGCTCCGTGGGATTCGACATGTTTCATGTAGCGCCAGAAAATCAAACTCCATCATCCACCGGGAACTTCGCGAGCCGATGCAGACGCCCTGGGCTCCCAGCAGAGAGGCAGCGCACCTCCTCTGTCACATCGCAGTCGGTGGCCAAAATCTGGCCAACGTTGGCGGCGGCGCACCACCGACGGTGGCGGTGATGCCCGGCGTCGCGATTTGGAAGGGGAAGACCGGTGGATTTTTTTTTGTCGTGCTTTCCGTGGCGGAGATTCATGCAATCGTCACCATCTGTGGCATGATCCAACCTTCAAGGGGAACACAAGCCACGTTGTAAGCGAAGCAAGGGTCATGTCCACAGTCTTGTTGAGGCCAAAGCATGGCGTGGACGCCCCTGTAGTTCAGCCCAGCTGATTGGTGGGAATGAAGCTAGCTGGAAGGGGCACTGTGGGCCTTCTTCTAAACCAACCGGTGGGTTGTCTCTGTTTATTTGGGGGTCAAAAATGCGGCATCACACATCTCTACGGGGCTTTTTTGCGACAGGTCCACATGGGAGGTAAGCCCCACTGCCCCAACAGGACTGATGATTCTTCAGCACCTTCCAAAAAAGATTTGGCGCATTGCTGCCGCGAGGCTCGCATCAACGACACCACGGTGCCAGACTCAAAGAAATTTCTTACAATGGACCTTGGCTTCGCGCATCATGCACATCTAAAGAATATGAAGGGGCAGGGGTGTATCTTGCCTTCTTGGCGCCTTCAGACCTCTCGTCTCCGCGCCGAAAATCCTTCAAAGACTTCATCACCATTCATCACCGATATTCAATCTTATCTCTGTGCACGGCCCACACCAACATCGCTTCATCAAAGTGGCCTATACTCTCAGGACTTCCCCAACGCGCCCACGTCCAATGTGATATCTATATATTTTGCCACCTCCACGCATGGACTGCGTGGGCGTTGGACCTCTGCAACTCGGACCCCGAACGCTTCTCGAAACTCCAGGAACACCAGGAAGACCTTCCTGGGAGCACAAAGTGAGGCAGGCATTTGTTTTTTCCTTATTTGGTGATGGATCATATCAAACAGCCCATACAACTGGGTGTAGATACATAGAATGTGTGATAGGAAGCGGCAATGCTTTGGGTAGTTGGTCCTCTAAAGCTCGGGTCACTCAAGGTTATTCCATGTTGTTTCTATTACTTATATTTGTTAATTATAAAAATATACGGCCATATGTCTACACATGTGCTTAAATAGACATGTATATACAAACGTGCCATCATATGCCATCCCACTGAACCCTTTTCAACCACAATGTGGGTAAATTCTGAATCATGTTGTTGCCTTCTCTAGGCCAACGTGATCATAGCCCTTGTGCCAGCGACTCAGCTAGGCTAAACCACAAAGTCTGGGCGAGGTCGACCAATACCACCTTTTTGGGTTTCTCCAGAAACAACCTCTGAAAACATGAAGACCAGCACCAGGAACCACGACGAGGACCCATGCCAGTAACATTCTGAACATTTCTGAACCGCTGTCCAAGTTGGTGCAAACACATGTCCAACAATCACAGACATCAATCAAGAAGGCCATGGTGCAGCTGCAAGGGAAGCTCATAGAGCACAGGCAGCGTCACGGTGAACCATGAGGTGAGCCGCACCAGGAAAAGGTGCGCCTCCTTTGAGAAGAGCTCCTCAACATAGGAAGAAAACACGTGCGTTCTGTGACATCATGGCTATGGGCTATGGCGGCGCAAAAGCAACAGTGGTGCCAGCCGAGCCCAGGTCTAACATGGTCTAACCACATGCCAGGAAGACGATCCACATGGATGGACCTGCATTCTCTGGGAGTTGAAGCTGACCCAAGGAATTCCAGAAAAAGAAACACACATCGACTGGAGGGACCCTCGAGCCTCAAGTGATTTCAAGCACCGCTTTGGTCACCAAATGGGTCCTTTTTCGAAGCCCCCGCCCCCACAACGGTCCATTGACTAGCCCTTCTGGGTCTTGGAGCCTCTTTGGAGCCTCAGTGAATTTCTGGTCTCCTCCATGCCGGAGAGCGAGCTCTGCTTCACATAGTCCAGAAAATCTTCAAGCACCTGCACGAGAAATGAGCCTCTGGTTTGCACACCACACCTTGATATGATGTGGTTTGATCTCCGCGGTCCAGGCACATTTCTCCAGCCAAAGAAAGAGTTGGGGTCGATGCAATCTTTGTGACACAACTTTTCCAAGTGTAGTACTCACTTGTTTGACTGGTCAATCTGATTGGGCTTAGCAAATGCACGGTAGTGCAAAACACAAACTAGGTCAGCTCCTCCACTAAGAAAAGGAGGGACAGACACAAATCCATTGGTTTCTCCCGCCAGAGCCTTCAGGGGCGCGCTCATTCATACTCATACGGCTTGGCTGCGCTCCACCCTGCAGTGCCCGTTAAGCTGCCGGACTTGGCCTCTTTTCGCTTCTGTCGGTTCCCCGCGTCGAAGATGGAGATGCGCTCCTTCAACCACAGCTCCCCGGGCGACCTTGCAGAATATGCAGGGGAAAATCAAAACGAAACTCATGGGACCCAACCTCACACCATCCCAAATCAGGCATCTTCAAACCATCAACTTCACTCAATTTCAGGCATCTTCAAACCATCAACAGTACCATCAACATACATCAACCCAGGCAACCTTCATATTGCGGCATCTTTCCTCGGATCCCTTTTTCTGATTTGTTTGGGAGATTTCATGGGATCATGTCCAAAAAATGTGGAGATCGCGCCTCAAGATGAACCCTTAAGCGAAGCTGAGCAGCTACACGAACTTCTACTGCGCTGTCCAGCTCTCCAGCCCCTCATCTTCTTGGCCAAGGCGCAACCATGGGATGGAGGAACCCTGACGTACACCCCAAAACCTCAGGGGGCTATCAATAGACACCCCTTACAGGCCCTTACATCCCCTCACGTTCCGCCCTGGTAGGCACCGTACCGCCAGGGCGGTGACATCCACTGGCCACCCCACTCCATGCCCGATGGACCCAACGGAGGAATTCTAGGTTCCACCACTGGCGATGAGCGGACTCAAAGGTGGCTTTGAACCTGGACTGGCGTCAGAAAATGCTCAGAGCATAGTGGAGAACTAGTGAGATACAAGTAGGAGCTGTGGATCATAGCTTTGGGATAGATATGCACGTAACTACGTGGATGCACAGATTCAGGCACATGACATAGGACTTGAGAGAGGAGGGGGTGAACGAAAGGTAGCAGGCAATCACAAGTAACCCCGGTAGAAGTCCATGATGGCGTGAACGCAGGGAGGATTTGATCCACCCCCCCCGACGAACAGAATCATCTCTTACAGGACCAAACCCAATGCACAATCCCAACTTCTGATTGTAATACATTTTTGCTAAAGCAAGGAGAACTCAGGTAGCCCAAGCTACCTTTCGTGACTTGCCGAAACCCTCAAATACAAAGCAAACCAATGGGACCGCCAGTGTGTTCATGGGGGTTTACGACACGTGAGTGGATTTGAAAATTCTGCCCAGTAATCATGTTCCTCGAGCCCTTCCATCCATACCTATTCGAATAACGGCTGCAGGTCATAAGTAGTAAAAATAATCGTATAATCAATAATAATCATTGCTGTCTATCGCTGGACTGTTCCAATGGGACGCAAACCCCGAAGACAGTTCGCCGGGTCTACCGTTGACCCCGAGGCCCGGCCCGGCCCGGCCCGTGCGAACTCCCTTCCCCGGCACAGCCGTCAGGAGGCCAGCTGACGCAGTGGGCAAAGAATCTATGCATCAAGATGTATCCACAAACATGTTAGAGGAGGGATCGGCAAAAAGTGCTTTTAGTCTGTGCGAATAAACCCCTTTCTACTGTTGTCGGTCTACGGAGCTGTATTGGGGGTTTAGTTTTGATTAAACCCCTTTTTGGTCGATTGATATGCATACCCTTGGGTTTGGGGTTTGGATCAGGATGTAAACCCTTTGTGATCGAGTGAGGGCCCTTACTCGACCAAAAAGGGTTTAATCAAAACTAAACCCCAAGTACAGCTCCGTAGACCGACAATATTAGAAAAGGGCTTATTCGCACAAAAACCAGCCGATCCATCCTCTATAAAGTGTTTGTGGGTATGTCTTGATGCATAGATTCTTCCTTTGCCCACTGCGTCAGGTGGTCTCCTTACGCCACGCCGGGGCGGTGGATTTGAGGTGTGGTTTGGTGGATTCCACAAAGGACCTATACAAATGGAAGGACTGCAGTGGACCGGCCCGGACCGCCCGGACCGACCGCAGTGGCCCGGCCCACGGTGGCCCGGCCCGCCCGGACCGGCCCGGACTAACCAACAAGAACACGAGCACATAGCCAAACCAAACCCATTGCCAGTTCCACTGTGTACATCAGCCGGATGAAAATTGACTTGCAGGTCGGGCGGAACGGGAACTATGCACCAGCACCAAACCTAAAATGTCTGGTATTCACATCAGTGTTTGAAAACTGGCCAGTCTCCAAAAAGAACACATCACAATAGTTGTCGACAACTCAATGCATTCCTGCGCGTAAGAACTTTGGACTCTGGACTTTGGTAGGAGAACGGCAAACAGGGGCCCAGAACCCCAGTTGTACCATGTTGGAATTATCAGGAGACGAAGGAAAACCATGGAAAACTACATTTTGTGTTTTGAAGGGCAATGCAGGCACATATGACATACATGGAGCATTGGGGGCATTAACCTTCCCATATGGACATGAATCTCCACTCCGCTGCATCTCAAAACTCCAAAAGGCAAATGCGGCTAACATTCGACAGTCAGTGTTCCACCCATTGGCTGGAACCGCAAACCCAGCAAATGCTTCCCTGGACATGTTGCAAACGAATTGTTGGTGGGAATTGACATGTCACTGCCTCACCCCCAGCAACAAAACCAAACATCCCGGCTCCCCCCAAAGGCCACCCACCGGAGAGACCTCTCAGGGTAACCCCGGTGAACACCGAGACTGGCGACGTGACGTCCGCTGGGAGCCGTGACAGGTTGGGCGGCAACTGGAGCAGCGCCTTGCTTTGGTGCAGGGTCTGGGCCTCGGAAGTGCGCGCGGACATCAACACCCCTCACAAGCAGCTGGTTTTGGCTCAGGCGGCCCATGTTCACGTCATTGATCTTCATTTGTTCCCATACTTGCCGTGGAAATGGCAAGGGGAAACATGGGGAAACATCATCACTTGCAAGTGGAAAACAAGAGTCGCAGTCTCCCTCTAGAGGACATCAAACATCTGCATGCTTCAACCAAAATAAGGGGAATGAGAACATGTGAGAACGGAAACGTTGCCATGATCATACAGACTAGTGGAAATGAATTGTATTTTTAACGCATTGTTTCCTCCAGTCACGGCGTCACCTTTCCTGCTTATTGGGCCGCCGGCCGCCAAGTTCACATGAGTCCGAGGTGGTGGAACGGCGGGTGGCCTCCCGCTGCGGGGTGGGACACGCGTGGACCCACCAGGCGCATCCGAAACATTGGGCGATGAAGCTCAAACAACAGGTTCGCGCCAAGAAACAAAAAAAACGGATCAATATGGATTAAGTCATGACTTCATTTCACGTGAAACACCCATGTCGTAAGAACACGCAGAAGGGTCTATGATGCCAAAAAAGGCAAGGTTTCGGATGTAACAATTGTGTTGCCAACGTATATTCCACGCAAATTGAAACCGAACAATGTGACGAAGTTGCTCACGTGGCCACACACTGACAAGTTGAGGCTCCGGCAGCGTCGCGGCCACTTTCTGCAAATACCTGATGAAATTGATGAAACAAATGGGTCTGTGGTGGCACGGTTCACCTGCATCAGGCACCTTCATGCCACTGTTACGTCAACGGCGCGGTTGCAAGCACGGCACGCATCAACACGCGATAGCGAACAAAATGCCCAAATCCTTCCACCAATTGTTTCACCCAAATGGGCTTTCCATGGCACTCATCCATTTTCCGGTAGTACTCATCCACGGCATCCGGCTGCTGTGGCACCACGTCGGTCACCTCCTGTCCCCATTGGTGAGTCGGCGTGTCATTTGTTCATGCACGTGGGATCATGTGGGAACCTTTTCCTGTAGCAAGCCTTCTGTCTGTAGAAAAGCCACACACATTCCACCCAAAACTGTAACAAACCCTGCATGGTTCATGTTTGAATAGATGCACTCGTCCGTCATACACCATACATGGAACGAATTGCATGGCCTCATCTTCATCGCTTTCCTCCTCGTCCTCGAATTCGGACTCCTGGCTGAGGTTGTCGTTGCAACAAGGATAGTTGACATTTACGAGGTTGCTGAATGTAAGGTTTGTAAACTGGCCCATGAAAATGGAACAGATCGTGCCAGTGCCTCGAGTTCGGACGCCATGTCCTGAGGGCCCACATCTTAAACCTACAAATGCGCCTGCGGAACGGCTGCGGGAATATATAGTGGTTGGAGTTGGAGCAATGATACAAAATTGATCCCCGTTAAAACTTTTTGGTTCGGGGTTGAAACGGTCATTTTGTAACACCAACCGTGTGTCTTTTAAAAAAATTACGAAAATCCCACTGAATGAAGAACTGCAACGGTATTTTGTAGAAAACGTGCGCGTGCAGTCTTTACAAAATGAACGCGTTGTTGTTATTCTCTGGGAGTTATTTACAAGCATCAGGAGCAGCAGAAACGTCAGGGGACGAAGGAGCAAAGCCAGCAGGAGGGAGAGAGCAAAACGCTGACAAAGGGAGGGGGCAGAACAGGCATCCCACTTAACGAAGGAGAAGTAGGAGTGAGGAAAAATGATGAAACTGGAAGGGGTTTAGGGTTCAAATTCACTTGCATGCATTCACGTTCGCAGCGGCTCACGTGTGCTACGTTGGAATGGGCCACGTCTCCTCAAATTTGTCCACGCGGGTGCCTCCTTCAAAAATATAGGCTTTTAAATTTTACCACCGGCTGGCCCACTAAAGGTCTACTACATTGGAATGGCCCTGCTTCCACAACAAGTAAGAAGTCCACATTGGAATGCGTCCTTCCTCCTCTGA